TGTGAGGAACATGTTAAAAGTAGAGCTTTAGTAAAATTAGTATATTATGATGGCTATGTGCTTTTGGAGAAAAGAAAAGCTGGAAAATAATGAAAAATATAGTTAAACCATCAATCTGAGAGTTAGGCCTGCTTTTATCTAAGTTTTATTTATTTTTTTTGAATAAATCAAAGGTAGATAAATTGTCCACCTATCAAAGAAGCAAAATTTCTGAAGTGATAATATCCAATGCTAGAGCACAAGTAACGAAGTAAGCACTTTCATACATTGTTGGATAAGACTGTAAATTGGTACAGTTTGGCAATTTGATGGTATTTATCAACTTTTATAAAGCATATATCTTGCTGCCTGGGCAATTTTGTCTCTATGAATTTAACCTGTGGATATACACCAATATATGTTCAACTCACTGTAACATTCTTTGCAACAGAAAAAAATTTGGAAACAACCAAAATGTCCCTCAGTGTGATGGAGAAGACAGCAGATGAATAAATTATGGTATTTATGAAATGACAGCTCTTTTTGTACAAGTGTGAAAAGATCTCTAAAATGAATTATCAAAAAAAGGTTGAGGAAGAGTATTATAGCATTCTCTTTTGTGTACTTTTTAATAATATGTACATTTACACCTATAATCTTTTTCTTTAAAATATGGATAAGTGTTTTCCTTAGAAGGGAGGGACTGCTGGGCAGGTACAGAAGTAAGGCTTTTAGTTTCAGTTTATACCTTTTATTAACCGTTTGTATAAAATCAATGTAGTCATCCCACCACTTTTGTTTTCTTCTTTATGCTTTTTAGTATTTTAAAAGAGAAAATGTCATTTATTTTATTTACATATGTTCGTTGAAGAAAACATTCAAAAAAGTACAAAATAATGGAAATCAAGTGAAATTTTTAAAAGAGTTAAAGCTCTTTGTACCTCAAGAGCAGCGACTAAGATGCCCAACCTCAGAACCAACCGGACTGCTGAATCTAGTCACGCCCGGGAAGTGTCGCCCACCCCAGGACTACAACTCCCACGAGGCATCGCGGGGACAGCGTCAGAGGGGAACCGAGAGACGTCCCACTTACTTCCGGCCTCCAGGAACCGTCCCTCTGGAAGTACTTTTTTATTTTTAATTACGTTAATCCTCTAGTCTTTAAGCGGGAAGAAACAAGTAAAAATCAGTTCAAACGTAAAGAAGAAAGGCTGGAATATAAAAGACTAGAAGCTCTGAGCAAGGACAGAAATTTGGCAGCCCCCAGAGTCGTACTAAAAGCGTGCCGTTCTGCTTCTCGCTTTTCCTTCCAGTCTCTTGCCATATTTCTGTTGAGCAAAACAAAATCTTCACCTTTCCCTTGTGGTTCCTTTGGAACCCAAGCTTCCAGGAAACGAAGGCCAAGTTCCAGAAACTGCCTGT